TCTCTCTCTCTCTCTCTCTCTCTCTCTCTCTCTCTCTCCACACACAAAGAAAGAGGAAAAGAGAGAAGAACAACACATTTATCATGGATGAGACTGCTGGAGCCAACCCGCGGCATCTGTTGAGAAACCAAACGAATGATAATGGACCCTCCCTCCCTCCTCTGCCGACTAAGGCTATCTCTTCTTCTTCATAGCACATATGATATGGCTGTTGAGCATGAATACTTGAATAGGTTTCTAACTTTCTACAATGTTACCCCTTGTCCTCTCCCTCCCTTCTCTTCCTCTCCCTTCCTTCTCTGCCAGCAAAGGCTACCTCTTCCTCTTTGTAGCACATATGATATGGCTCTTGAGCATGAAAGCTCGAATAGGTTCCGACATTGTTACCCTCTCAATGGTCTTAAGGTCATTAAGCAACTCCACATACTCAAGGAAATGGAAAATATCCCAGATCAGTATCATTCCCCCTGGCTTGACAACGCGAACCATCTCCATAAGAGCACGCGACCGCTCCTTACGGGCCTGGGCGGTGCGTCTCCCGAACTCGGCCCCAACAAGATGGAGAGAGAGGGAGCAGAAAACCACATCAAATGTGGAATTGGGGAAAGGGAGCTCGCGGGCGTCTGCGGTACGAATGTCGGCTAGCCCCGCGACTCCCTCGACAGACGCGTTGTAGACCGTCACGACTTGAGAATTCTGAGTCAAATCGGATGGCCGCCATATGTCTACGCCATATACCTTCTTGGATTTCCTGCTGCCGCCGAGAGCTTCCCTTACTCTGGAGGGTGTGGTTCCAGCATGCAATCTTTTGGACTGCTTTAGTATGGTCTCAGCGCCGGCACTTAAAGTCTCTCCAGACTCTTGTCCTCCTGTACCCGAGTCCGCTTGTCCTCCTCCCCTACCTCCTGACTCTGTCTTCTCGTCGTCGATCGGGTTTACATCTGTGGACTGGAAATGCTTCATGGCAAGCGCCGCGCTATTGAGCAGAAGGCCTCTTCCGCAGCAGACATCGAGGACGGAGCCGACATGTTCCCAGTCATCTACCATCTCGATCATGCGCCGAGCTACCTCTTTCTTCACCCGCATACTTGTCCAGATGCAATGAACACTCGTCGTCCAGCATGAGAACCCAATCCAGCCAATCAGGCCGATGGAGAACCCGGTGGCGAACTGCCATGCCTCCACTGACAGGATTGGGATAGCTTCAGTTAGAAAAAGGACTACGGGCCAGAAGCAATAGATCCAAATAGCCACGACTGTCGTCGCGATTAACCCGCCAACTACACATCGGAGGACAACATCCGGGCAGTCAAGCCCATATGCGCCCTTCAGTTTGACGCGGAAAGCCATACCTCTGCTCTCCCCTAATTCGTCGTCGTCCTTTACCCCACACAACCAATACCCGCTTCCTTCCTTCTCCTAGTCGCTACACAAACAGCCACCTCTCTGGCTTCCTCCCTCCTGTTGGTCTTTCAACGGCTGTGCGTCCCCTTTTCATTGGAATCCTTTCAGTACTACTTCCACTCCACTCAACACAGCCTACACACGCTGAGCTTCCCTCCTTTCAGTAGAATGAATTGAAACAAAAGAACAACCCTCATATGAGTAGCACTTCGCAGTCCTCTTCAACAGATTGCAGCAATCATTCTTCGGTCGTGATGGCCCAAGCAGATGAACTCTCACGTGCGTATTCCTACACAACAGAACGATATAGCATTCCAAATTCTGTCAATGACGACCACCCACCAATAACAAGTGACTCACAGTGAATGCCAACTGACCGAGCGACTGACAGATCAACCCATCAACCGATCGAGCAATTGCCAGACAGACAGACAGACAGACAGAATGAGAGAGAGAGAGAGAGAGAGAGAGAGAGAGAGAGAGAGAGAGAGAGAGAGAGAGAGAGAGAGAGAGAGAGAGAGAGAGAGAGAGAGAGAGA